TTCTGGAAGCAGATCAAGGAAATTCAATTTAATTAATCTCTAGATTTAATTGAGCTTAGTACTTATATTTTTATGCTCATCCTAGAAGTTATATATATACTTTTAGCTCGTATTAGTACTTATATTTTTTGCTCATCCTTTGAATCTGTACGAGGCGAGCTCTTCTTTGATGCGATCGCCGTTAGATTAATTTTTTGTTAAGAATATACGCTTTGTAATCTTCCTCGCTGAAGTAGTTAAGCCACGAGAAGATGTCGCTCATTTTCGCTCTGGTCCTTGTACCGCCGTCGTTAATTAAAATGTCGTATCTACTAATTCGCAATTTTTCAGAATATTTATGTACACTTGGAACATTACGCGTCTTTTACCTTTTAAGCGGACTTGTTTCTCGTTACCATTTATTTCTTTTTACTTGTTTAAAAATTATTTTACTAATTTAAAGCTTCATTTTTTTTGGATAATTAGAACTATTAGCAAGCACGATTTAATTAAGTAGGACAGTGTAGCGTACGTTTGTTTCTGTTCAAAAGCTGTTCGTTTATTTCAGACTGCGATCCTTCATTACATTATTTATTCCATTTTGATCGAAAACCATTAATTCCTTGATTAGTCCACAAAATTGTCGATGGTACGATCGCAGCTTGATGAACATTAGATTTACGGAGCACTAAAAGCAGCAGTTTTATATCGGTTTATAAACATCGGAATAATCCTAAATTAAAAAATTAGCGACTCAGTGTCGATTTGTCGGGTTCCGTGAATCCAGCGTTCATTTACGCATCGGCCGGCAGAATTATCGATGAGAATTTGCAATTTCAATTTAGATTCGATAATCTGTGAAACTGTCAGTGGAAGACCGCGCGTACACATTTATTGGACCAATATCGTCGTCGAACCCCGAATCGGAGTGAAGTAGTTCTCGCGGCGGAAGAAGACTTCGGAGGCAATCCTTGAAGACCGCCGTCGAATCTCGGTGGTCAAAGAAATCCGCGGACCGAGGGAGCCCAGAGAGAGAGATAGGACGCAGCCGCAATCCGAGGCGCGAGTCAAAGTCGGCTCGAAAAGGCCGAAGTGGTGTCGGTTTGACACAGATTTCTCGGCGTTTCCGAAAGCAATTGCGAAACGACCGATCGGGCTGCTTCATATTCCCTCGGGAGCAAAACGGAGAGCCTTCAATATCCGGCAGCGGTTCTCGAGAACCGGCGGCCCCCTCGAAAGCGCGCGACGCCGCTCCTCTCGAAGGATTTCCCCGTAATTGCGGCAAATCGTTGACAGAAACGACAAATCGTCCGGCCGGAGAGTATCCGCGCGCGCGAGCCAAGCAGACTCGGCGACGTATCTGGGTCATCGGACCACTTTGCTCGGGGGAGATCCTCGACGAAAAGAAATTCATCACTCTGGAAAGGCTCGATCGACTGGCCGCCGAGGGAGCAGTCGAGGGAGCAGTCGAGGGAGCAGTCGAGGGACCGACAGCGAACAGCGACAGCCACGAGTCAAACGAGAAACCGACGATCGACGACGCGCCGGCCAATAGAGACGCTAGTCGATCCTTGGATCAACGTCCCTGGGTCCGATACAGATAGGCGGAAGCCGCTTTTTCCTAACCTGTCTGATCTTGACAGGCCGTCTCTACTAAATAATGCTCATGCTCCTGGAACCCGACGAACTTCTCGAGGCTCCGCAAACAGACTTCGCCCTTTCCTTTTCTGAGAAAACGAGTCGCGCTATTATTCTTGATACAACAGCTCTTTATATCTTCTAAGGTATCTTTGCAACTGCTACCGTTTATATTCCGCAGACATCTCGCGGTGCTGTCATGTCTATTCGTCAGACCATGCGACCCGTTGTAGCCGCGACGACCTTCTGAATTGTAGCTCTCTTTGCATCCTTCGCATCCTCAAAGACCCTGAAACGATGATCCTTTTTCTTTCGCGACATGCTTCCACATGTCCCCTTTTCTCCAATTGCTTGGAATCGAATTAATGGAATAGTGTACCTTTATATTCCCTGGAATGTAGAAGCTGGCAGCCTCGGAACTGTTATGTGAACGACCTTGAGATCGAAGCCTTTTACATTCCTCGAAATCCTTGGAGAATTCTGACGTACTTGTTCTCTCGCACAGACCTTGGAATTATTTGCCTTGTGCGCCGGCAAAGACCCTTCAAATTACCACCCTTTACGCATTCCTATTCCTTCAAGTAATTTTCGCCTTTTGCATTCTCGAGATCCTTAGAATTGTACCCATACCCCTATGGGACCGAGTTGAAGTTCTTTAGATCCGTCAAGTGACCTTGAAATCAAGACTTTCTTGCTCTGCTTTTAAAGAACTTTGAGGGAGGTTGACCCTCGAGAACCCTTTCCGTATCTAAGAGTCCGCAGAAGTAGTATAGCCACAGTCAATTAATTGTCAAGAAAAATTCGCGATCGCTCATTTTCATCATTTTGGGATAGCAACTCCACAACGTTACCTACTTAACCTGAAATACCATCTGTCTAACCGCGTCTCGAAATATCCACCGACTGTCATAATTGCATAATAATAACATTTCTAGTATATTTGGACCTGCTCTTGTGTCAAAGAATTAACGATTTTTACAATTAACATAACACGTTAAGTGTCGATAATCAACCCCGAAAATTTTTTGCAAGATCGAAGTAATTTAATTAACGGAACTGAAACTGCAAAGATCAAATTTATCACACTGGATGGTATTCTAACTATTTTGCAACGTCCTGGTAACGTTCAATTTGTTCAAATATATAGGGTGCCTATTTCATCCAGTACATTGAAATATGTTCGTTACTTTTACCGATGTAAAAAAATGTGTTAGACCCCAACTTTACTTAGTTCAAGGTTAAGAATATTATTTGTCATATTTTTTCTTAAGGTCATTTTTTTCAAGTACCGAAGGTCATCGTTATTTTCTGCACGTTAACCCCTATTTTTTAAAGGTCATTTAAAAGTCGTAGTGTCAGTGATCGTTGAATTCGTCTTCCCGTGCACCATAGTGCTGCGTTACAACAACAAAAAATAGGGGTTAATGTGCAAAAAAACAACGATGACCTTTGATACTTGGAAAAAGATGAACTTGAGCGAAAGAAAAACGTGAATTATAATATTCTTAGCTTTGCACTAAACAAAGTTGACCGGACACATTTTTTATGTAACCAAAAATAAGGAAAACACTTCAACGTACAGAATAAAATACACACACAGTATTGCAACAAAAACTAATTCTGAAAACTAATCAGAAGTTATAGCGCGACAAAGCAATATAGTATGCCAAAATGACGCATGAGGCAAAACACAATTTCATTAAAGCAACATTTAGCAACATAATGTTATTTAGGTCGGATAATGTTGTCGAACGAGACGTGACATGCGACAGGTCGTATAATGTTGTCTCAAGGGAATCGCCCCTAGTGTCACCCATATACTTAAACCTCGAACGACGGACCATTTTCGCAGCTATAAAACTGACGATATTTATGACGGTTCTCAGCTTCGTTCATCAATTTTTCCAAACATATTTTTGTAGCTACAGTAAATTCTCCCTATTTTTCCTTCAGCTTGTAAACCAAAATAAACAATTTAGGAAGAGGAGATGCGATTATTCGAACCTCGCACCACGTTCTTATAATTTTTAACAATCGACATCGTATCTTCTCTTTCCAAATTGTTCATTTTTGTTTACAAACTGAAGACAGATTGGGAAGAATTTACTGTATTTCATATAGACTCATTAACCTTTCCTAATGCAACATCCATTTATGTCGAAACTTGACTAATTAGGCGACGATGTAAATCGATCTTAAATAACTTTAACTAGGTTAAAACGACCCGGTAACCGCAGGCCGAGGGTTAACGCGTTAGTCATTCGCAACCCCCGCTCCTTGCCTTGGCCCTCTGCAATTCTAAGAGCCCCGGTATTCTGTTTCCTATGGCGTTGCAGCGAGTTTCATTTTCTACCGAGGCGGTGGATAGTCGGTGTCGTGACCGAGGGAACGCCTAATCTCGGCGAAACCTTAGGGTCTCGGGTATTAAGATCGAGCGTTGCCCGCGAGAAGATAAGTGGGCCTTTGTTCCCCTCGGAGAAGAGCGGCGAGCCGCCAGTTTCTGGCGTTGGTACACACGGTTGCGCAAAACGCCGAGCCGCACGGCGCAGCCTGTAAAAACGGTCCCACGGCCAAACGGACCATTCTCGTTTCAACGATGTACGCCCCATTCGATCGCGTATCTCTCCTCCGGCCTCAAAAAATCAGCTGGCGATCTCTGAACGAGCCGTTTATCAATGGCGCTGCAGCGAGTTGCAACAGAGAGCTAACCCGGCCCACAAATTACTTTCCCCTCATTCTCGGTCGATTCGTCTAAATTTATTGCTAACGCCTGATATCATTATCATTATTGGTTTTATTAAAATATATTTGACGGGTCCGAGATGCAGTGTGTATATTGGTATCATCTAAAACGGATCCTGGTCGAACGTTCTTATGCTATTTTCGACTCATTCGAATTATTAAATAACAAAGTTCATATTTATTTCGATTCCTAACAAGTGACGTGGAAAATGTCGTCCATAAAAATCTACTGTATTAGTTTCTTCGCAATCGCAATGACTTGAACTTCTTCAAATGTTATAATTTCTTAGAAGAAAAAGAAAATTCATAGAAAACATTTTATCAACTATGATGTCGATCTAACTTCAAGTACCAAAGAATTTATACCCGTCAATTTAATTCAATTTAATTTATTTCTAAATATAAAATAAGAAAAAGAATATAAAATAAATATAAATTTTAAATATAAAATAAGAAAAGCATAACTTACGTAAACAGTTTCTAAAGACTTATTTTAAATCTAGTAACTATTGTTATTAATGAGTAAATCAACCTAATGTTTGCCATGCCATGTTAATAAATAATTGAACAAATAAATAAATAAATAAATGTAAGGTACTTTCATCCAAAGCAACCATTCCATTTCTCCTTGGATCTTGCAGGTAAAGGCAACGACACACGATAAAATAAAGTGACAATGCTAAGCGACGGATTGACCCTTAAACCGATCGACTGTCTCCGACGAGGGTCAAAAGACAAACGACCGACAGGGGAACAAGCGTGAAGTAGCAGAGGAATGTTTCACAGAACGAGAGGACAACGCCGAGAAAATCCGTTGGTCGTCCGAAAGAAAAGCGGGAAGAGGAAACGCTGTCCTTTGAGCGCCAGCATGAGAACGCGTCGCCGAGGGATCGAGTGCCCGGTCGGTTGCGTGCCTCGAATGTAATTACCGCGAGGTTTCGGGAGCGGGATCCGTCGTTGCTCGACGTAGAATTTTCGCGTCGGTCCTGCCGCGAGGCTTGTCTCATTGTTCGCGAATAATGGCTCCGCGGTACACGCGTGTCGCGTCGATTATGTCACGTACCGCCACGCGTGGAATGCATACAAACAAAAGCGTCCGCATCCTCTCTCCCTCTCGCCACCTCCGCGAGGCTTCTCGAAGCAACGGCCGTTTCCATCGGGGTCCCTTGCTGCAGCGAGCTAGCAAACGTTCTCACCGTCACGAGCGAGCCACCGAGCAGCCAAACGTGAGAAAGAGGAAGTCGTCGTCGTCGATCCCTCGGGCTTCGATGGAACGCGAGGACTAACATCGGCGAACCAGCCCGGCGACATTTAACGCGCCCTGAAAGCCGATGAGCCGCCGATTTCTGCCCCCCGGATGCTAAAACGGCCGCCGGTCGGTGCCAACTGGCCCTTTCCGATCTTCTGGCCGACAAGGGAAGTTCGATAATCCGAAAATACCGACTCTTTTGAAATTTTGCAAGTTTGGGGGCCTTAAAACGGCTTAAAAGAAGTTTTCAAGCATTTTTATTGTCGGACCAAATTCGTTTCTTCAGAGTTGCAATTGTTCAAATCCACGTATCAAAGAATCTTTTCCTTAAAAATTAGCAGGGACCATAATCGAAAGTCAAATCTGACAAGAGTGCAGACGAATAGCAGGTCACAAATGACCTTTTTTGATGAATTTCTCGTGATCGGTCGTTTTCGTCCTCAGACTGTCTCAGATTTTTTAGTATCAAGCAGCATAATAGTTGGAAGACGTAGAGGCCGTAAATTCGCCAATTTTCTCAGTCTCCTAATTAAGCAAACACGAATAATCTTGGCCAGTTAAGTCGACCAACTGGGCCGTCATGGAACAGAGAGAGCAAGAGGTCAAGAGGAGCTGAGCTGCGAATGTCCGCGGAAATTGGATGATTAGCTTGTTCTTTGGTCGCGCAATTACCGGCCAGGTTGTTCGGGCTTTTTCACTTTTATTCTCATTGCGGAGGGCCGGTGGACATCGAGCTTTATGCGGTCGGAAGGTCTAAGCGATTGCTGGGAGTGGGTCAAGTGCTTATCCAGAGCTGTGCGACCTTTGTGCAGAAATTAAAGCTCTTGGGCGAAAGCGGCGCGGTCCATTGTCGCGGGACATTAATTACAACGTCTTGCACGCTTCCAGTTAACTATCGAAATGAAATCTTGACAATTTATTGCTGCCGCGGTCTACGTTCCCCGGTGAACGCGATGTTAATTTTCCTCAATTAAGGCGTAAATTCAAATTTCTTTTTCCGAGATCGCGACGCGAGTTCGCGCAACAACCGCACAGCTACCGAGGTTAGACTCAATTACACGGAGCTATTCGAGATACAGTGAACCAGACTCGGTTGATGAATCAGGTAGGGTACTGGATCAAGTTATGCGTCGTAGGAGGACGGATTTACAAGCGCGCTGCCTCAATTAGGAGCGTGTAAGGAGCGCACGTATCTCGGGTGGATGTGAATTGTATAATAATTGCGGGGTAGAATGCACGAGAAACGAGATCGGTATCTGCTGGCGCGATGAAGAGGAATGGCTAACGAAGATTGTCAGCGGAGCGGGCCGAGACACGCTCGACGAGTGCCGCGATTCATTACAGGCTTGCCTTTCGACAGAAAAACCTGACACCGTGGTGGCGAGCGTCTTTATGCGAGCGTCGAAATCGGAATCGCAAATAGTTTCACCTCATTACCGTTCTTTTACATACACGGCGTAATATAATGGATACTTCTATTCTAAAATCGTTCTATTAACAGTCCAAGTTCTAGTAATATCTCAAGGTTTTCAATTTACGATTGATGAGATTGTAAAGATGCGTCTGTGGGTAATTTATTTCATAACATTAGCTTTATTTGGACGTATACAGAAAATGTATACGATACATCTATTCTAAAATGGTTCTATTAACACTCCAAGTTCTAATAATATCTCAAGTTTTTCAATTTATAATTGATGATTTCATTGAGATGTAATTTCATCAACAACTTTATTTTTCTTTGGACGTATACGATGATAAAAACCAATAAAAATCCTGATAAATAAATCTTCATCGTTTATATAAATTCATTGCAGAATAGCCACTTTTAATGATTCATAGATGACGGTGTAACACATCGAATACCACGTTCATTAATTACTAGTCCTCAAGATTCATATTTATTGTCATATATTTTCTTTATTTATGTATTCATTTATTTGGTGATTTCAACAGGAATAACTCTCTGTTACAGAAGATAAAGAAGCAGAAATTATCAAAAGAGTTCGTCGACTAGGAGTCAGAATGAGGTAAAAGAACTATTGAAAAAGTCCAGTGTGTGTTGCAAAACAGGTTACAGTTATACAAAGATTACACATTTGAACAAATTAATTTTACCAGGATGTTGCAGAACAGTTACGATACCGTGCACTATGATAAATTTTAACATTTCAATTATTTTCATGTCTTCAACGCGTTCATTAAAGGAATTAGATTTTAGCGTGCCCATTGAAAACAGCGATTTTGTTCACCAAACATGCAGAATCCGCCATCGTTCGCATGCCGTAAACGACGAATTTGAAATTTGATGTGTAATACAGTAATAGCAGACGCGCTTTGGGAACGACGGGCGCGGCCACCGTAATTCCCGGTGTTTACCCCGGGCGGTTTTTATGCGGATCGCACGTTGGACCGGTTCGATTCGGTCGGGTACAGGCCGGGCTCTAATTCCGAGTCCCGCCTAGCTCATTAGTCATAATGATGCCTCGATGCCCGGAATTATCTACGCCCGACTATCGAACTGGCGGGAATTTCGCGGCAGGCTGGGCATCGCATTAGAATCGCGGAGAGCAGACGGAGAAAGTGAGGGTGGGTTCGGTGCGAGAAAAAAATGCACCGTAAGAGCCCCTTTTCTCCGGGGTTCGAGGCGGTGTTCCGTCGGAAATTCAGACGCGTGCTCGACCAGAGAAGCCGCTGCAGTCCTCGAATTCGAGCGAGTCGCTGACTATCGATCGACGCCTACAGCGAGGCGAAGCAAAGAGCGAGGCGTGATACGAAGCACCAGCTAGGCATGGCGAGGCGGTGCGAGGCAGAGCGAGGCGCAGCACCGAAGCCACCGGGTAAATTGAAAATAAAAATAGCGACGGATCTCGAACGGGATTACCGGCCACGAAGGAACAGAGGGGCAAGAGCCCCGGGAACTGGAGCGAAAGGGCGATTAACCCTTTGGCGACCAGACAACGAGGAAGCTTTGAAAAACGTGCGTTCACCTCGTAATCCCGCAGAGCCAACGCGTTTTCTTCGCTTCTAATAAACTGCTCGATGAGTCAAGGCTATTTGTTGTCGGCGATTGCCGATTCTTCCTTTTTGCATCTCATTTTCTACGTTATCCGGTCATTAGCCACGTTCTTTCAAGAACTCCGGTGAATTAAGGCTTGATTGTGAGACTCTTTTTCGATCACGGACACTGGGCTGTTCGCTCGATTTCGCTGGGTAAAATTATTTTTTTCATTTAACGTGGCTAAAATCTAGCTACTAACTTGTTTATAGCATGTTAATCTAGAAACAGTAATTACAAGCAAATAAACGTTATTAATAAAATGTTCAAAATGTTATTTTCATTATTTAATGGATTCAAAACGTGTCTATTTACTTGTTTATAATATTTTAACATAGCGAGAATGATTTTCTGATATTATGAAACAAATTTAATTATTATTTGCATTGCATGAAGTCTACATATATAATTATTAAAAAATAGAGACCATAAATGTTATAACCAAAACGCGATAAAAATTGAAGTATAACCATTAAATTTTGCTTGAACTGATTTTGGTTTCCAATAACCATTATAAATGACGGAAGTAGTTTTTAGTTATCAGTAACCATAATAAATAACGGAAATATTTCTTGGTTACCACCATTATAATTGACGAAAATGGATAACCGTTATCAACAATCAGAATTTTATTTTATGAACCATCGACTTTATTGTTTCATCCAACCTTCTATAAATCTACAATGGGTACATCTGACCCCCCCCCCCCCCAATTCGTGCCTACATCGAAGCCAATAAATTGTGTACTCATTTGAACTTTTTATCGAGCAATACATGCAACTTCAAAAATTTATTGTACAACTTAATGTAACTAATTTTAACACGATCCATCTAAACTATGAAGTACATATTACGTTTTAATTGCTTTTATACCTAATGTACGCTGACGGAAGTTGATCTCGTTTACAATAAATAAATTAAATTAAATACCGATTTCTCTTGATTTCTACGGCTGACAATGTAGGGGTAAAAAATTCGAATTACCTCGTAAATTTCGCAATTTCACTGGCGCTGGATTCGCTTTGAAAGTGGCGGTTTAGTCTAGAACCGCAGAGGATTCATTCATCGGACGCCTCGGATCGAAAGGAAACGAACGCGCGTGCACACGCGGTGAATGAAAATCGCGAGAAACTAGGAAGCGTGTAGAAGCTGGCCACAATCCGATCACTCCCACGGTGTGCCCGCGTTATCTAAGCGACTCGTTTGTAACCTGCACCGCTGCGAACGAATTACAGATAGGCATATAACCCGTGCGAACATTTTCCATCCGTCCGACCATCGTGCATTCTTTTCCGCGAACGTCGAAAGTCGCAGTCAAGGATCGACGTACCGCGTTTTTCCGCGGTACTCGCGCCGCTACTCGCTTTTTAATATTCTCGTCGCTGTCACGCGAATTCCTTTCACCCTGGTAAATATTGCATTCGCGATTCCATGCTCGTGGAATCTTGCTAATCGATACGCCACCCTCGCCGGAAACTGCTCGCGAGCTATTGTTAACACCGTGCAAGCGTTATTTAGATTCGCGATCCGTAACAAAAATAGGGCATGCGCGTTGGATGAAATTCGATTTCTATCGAATTATATCGACAGACAGACAAATCGACGATTTCTAGAAAAAAAATGTTGACAAAGTGATAGATCGGCCCCTTTGCTTGCGGCTAGAAATTAACGTTGCAGTTGCTTGCGATGCATATTTTGCGAAAAGCGGTATTGCGGATGTCGATGATCGAATATGTTAAGAAAATAAGTGCTTCTAGTTCCTTCCTTACAAGTAAAATATAAGAAATCAGCGTTCCATTTGCTTGTTCCACATTTTGCGGAAAGCAGAATTGCGAAAATCGATGATCGAAGATGTTGACCCATTTTGTGCAGGTCTGCCTTTTAAAAGACCATTTAATATTTTCAAAACTGTCAATAAGATTTTGCTAACAACCATTCTTTCAAATATATAACGAAATGAAAAAGAATTGAACTTTTTGAAAACGTATTAATACCTCTCCCGCGCTTAGTGTGTTAAGAGAACTATGTGTCCATTTCGTTAGAGATAAAATATCAGAATCGATGTTTCCGTCGCTTGCCCTACATTTTTCGAGAAGCAGAAACAATTTCATTTATTCGATGGATCGAAACTTTATCCGTTCCAGTTTCTCTAAACCCGTCTACGATATTTCAGCTTACCAGGGCTCGCCACTCGCGCGAATCTCCGAGTCAATACGGAAAAACTGATTGAAAACGAGCGAAACTCTGTTCCGCCGCATCGCGATGTTTTCGCGGCGGTATTTGGAATCTAATCGTCGAATATTGCTATTTACACGGCGTCCGCGCCAACAAGCTGGTTTCCGTTATTGTTTACAAAATTCCCGTTTACACGAAGCCCGGCTCGGCGAGCAAACAGTTTCGCGGGGAACGGTAATAATATCACTGTGAATTCCGCGTTGCGATGCGAGGCTGCGTTCGTTTATTTTAAGTCGTCCCCCGAGGAATCGTCGGCGAACCCCGCGCTGGAATAATTGACTCGCGGGAACTCGAGGGTTCTGCCCCCTCGCCGAATGATTAATGAAACGTGTTATCCCCTATCAAGCCCCTCATACAACTTCCAGGTTGGAAATACGCGCGGCCGAGCAACGCGCGACGGTAGGGCGAAGCGTTGCCCATTGACACCGTGGACGCTGATACGCGATCTCGACCCGCCTTCGACCCGCTTTCGACCAGGGATCTCGGTTTTGAACGGGCATTGCATATACACGTGTACTTAATTTATCCGTATATTAACCCGCGTATTACAACTCGCAATAAATAACTGGCAGTCGCGTTTCTTTTGACTTATTTCCTCGCATATTTTTCCTTCTTTATTTCAGCGAACAATAACATTAATTTCTCTTATGTGTCTCTGAAATTAAAACACGGATACAGTTAATTACACGTGTACCCGTATATTATGAAGCGCACGGGTTAATACGCGGATATATTAATTACTCGTGTGCGCGTGTATTTGGGTATATGTGAGATAGAGACCTCTACTTTCGAACAGCTCAGACAACATCACCGTCTCGATTAAGAAGGTACTGTAAATGTCTTCCTAATTGACGTTCAGATTGTCCACAAAAATGGACAATTTGGGAAGAGGAGATACGATTAATCGAGCCTTGCGGCTCGTTTTTATAGCTGTTGACAATCGATAATCATAAAAAACGAGCCACAGGGCTCGAACAATCGTATCGCCTCTTCCAAAATTATTCATTTTTGTGGATAATCTGAGCGTCAATTAGAGAGACATTACTGTATTACGGTCTAGAATTTTGGAAAAGGCGATTTCTTTTTACTCCATTTTCTTAAAGTACAAAACCTTGATAATAAGCGTGCAAAGCCTTTGCTTCAATTCGTAAAAATACCGACTTTATAGACATTTAATCGCAATTGTGCACTTTTTGTTATAAGATTGATATGGAAAACTTTAAACGCGTTTTTATCGAAAAACTTTTTAAACTGGCGTCCGTGATATCTCAAGATCTATTCGACCGATTTCACTTCAAATTAGAAGAAAATTTTCTGCAGACGTGCCTAGATATTTCAAATGATCTCGAGTTTCACTATTCTTTCGATCACGCTAAAGAGGAAAAAGACTAAAAAGTCGTTACTTTATCTTCAAATTTCCGCCATTTGTTTAATTATCGACACTTTTACTTCATTCGATGTCATTTTGCTTCATTCATGAAAGAAGCAGCTGTAACTCCTG